AGGACGCTTACTCACAAACACAAACTCAAACCTGCGGGGACCTCGTGCTACCACAGGCCGATGGAGGCTTTTCTCCTTGCAAATGAGTCATTTGCCAGACTGGTGCTACAAACTGTGGCAGAATAAAGGCGGACACACCACCTTACCTTCGTGCGCGCATGTTTGTGAGAGAGACTCCGTGCGCTCACATATTTTGCCAATATCCAAGAATGTGTGTCTTGTGTTTTGTCCACTGTTGTTAAAGCACCGTGTCAAGGCCACTCGTTCGGTGTGAGAAAACGAGCGTAAAAATGCAAAACACAAGTCTGCGAGGGCTTGGCGACCAAAAAAAAAAAAAAAAAAATCTCTGGATGTTCCCGTAAGCAATAAGCAAATAATAAGCATATGACAATGACATCAATCAAAACATGTTTTCATTGTACTTTTCCCATTCTGGCAGTTGGCTTTTATTTGCCCTGATACCAATCAGACTTTGAAACAGTTTTTTTTCCCCCCGTGGGAATTTACTTGCATCAACTTCTATAGAAATCATTGGAATGTCAAAATATTTTTTCTTCCTGGGATAAGAAACACTCACAGTCACACAGACTACAGCGTACAACATGAGAATCTTGTAAATGTTCTTAAAAGTACATCAAATATTAGTGGGTTTGTTTTTTTTTTCTTTGTGTGTAATGAATTTGCTTTGGCAGGGGACTCTGCAAAAAATGGAAGTGGAATCACTTCCATTCTGAATTGTGAAGTGAAGCAAGCGGCTCATGTTTTATCTTCGGATGGTCACTTGCCATCCGCCAACCTCCTCTGAGTTGGTGTTGGCCACCTGCAATCGGCAGCTTGCGGTTGCTAGGCAACCATCAGCGGGGCCGTTGAAGATAATACGATGGAGAGCATGTCTGCTCGTAAATGTGTTTCCCCTCCTGGTTCTTCTCCACCCGCCAAACACCCACCATACCCGCCCTCCTCCTCCTCCTCCTCCTCCCCCCCTCGCAGCGGTAAGAAAAGGCTGGCCACATAATGGAAACTCTGGCCTCATCTGCTGCTGCGTCGGGCTGCCAGACTCATAAGTGTCGCTGGCTCCAACAAGGGCAGCAGCAGCAATCTTCCGACTTAGCTTCCGTGCATGTTTTTCTACAGGAGGAAAGAGTAGCACGGCATTGAGCAAAGTCTCGTCGTCCGTGCTGGTTGGAGTCCCCGAGTAACTTCCGTTGCGACCTTTAACCCCTGCAGCCGTTCGATGCTTGCCGCCCGTGAGTTAGCACGCGGTCGCTGTCACAGTTGTCACGTTTTCATTGCCTTGTTGAGCTGTACGGTAATTAGCATTTCTATCTTGGTGTCACGGTTCATGTGTGTTGCAGTCCCTTTGGCAAGCGCCGCTGCGACAGCTGCCGGTTTCTTCCGAACATGCACGCCTCCCAACACGCACGCGTGGCGGTGAGGCAACAGTTGAGCAACAAGCACCACGGCGACGTTAGGTGGATTCAGTGCACATTTGTTGTCACGCGTTGTGTTGTTTTCTCCCCGGGGTTGTGCATTACACCTGCAGCACTCTGCACAGCCTGCGGTGAACATGTCCGGTGCCCGCCCCCGCGCACTTTTTATTCCTCGGCGCCACGAGAGAGCCTTTGTCACTTCACGGCTGAGAGCTCGCCAGCATGAGTAAAAAAAAAAAGTATTTTTGCTATTTATTGGCTTCTTTCGTGGGGTTCGGCCCCCAGCGGAATCGGAAGCGTGCGGCGACAGCGCACTTGTAAAGTCAACACGGTTCAAGATCCAAAAACGTTATTAGTGAACGCGCAGCAACCAGTCCTGGAGGTTCCGGTTTAATGTGGCTGCTGTCCAGGGGGTGACCGGTGAATGTGTGTCGAGTGACGCCGGGAAGGCACCCACCCGCCGGCCATCTACCGGCTCACCTGCGACCTGCCGTCCAAAATCAAGTCAAAGTACATTTGAAGTGGCAGCCAAGGCCGCTTAAGTGATCACCATGACAACAGGCTGCGATACGACACCTCTTCTTCCGTCATCCTCTTCCTCCTCCGCAATGTCGGACCGCTCGCTTGCCTGCCTGCCTCCTTGCCTGCCTTCCGTGTTCTTCATTTTCTCCTCTTTGTCGCCGATGCGTCTTTTGGGAGCAGTTGGGGCTAACGGGCTGTGTTACCTTTGTTTGTTTTCATGCTCGTTTCACACTATTGTCCCCCCCATCCCCTCGCTGAACAGTGGGTCGACACTTACTGTCCAAATGGTTGAAGTGTAGTGACATTTAATAGAATCAATTACACTAGCAAGTGTCTTTGATCTCGTCAAATATTGAGCTTACAATTACTGTCGTTGGAATTGCTGACATTCAACATAACTGATAAAACTACCAAAAAGGGTTTCCCATCTCGCCAAATAGTGAGCCGACATTAATTGTTGAGAACATTTGACATTTCACAGAATCAATATTATGTATGATCCAGTGTCTTTCAGCTTGTCAAATAATGAGCCTACATTTTTTTTTTTTTTAGGTCAAATTGTTAGACTTTGTGTGCCGGCGCGTGTTCAGGCACATTTGACAGAATCAAAACAACCATCAACTGCCCAGTAGGGACCTTAAAATTATTTTCGAAAACATTTGCATTGGTGTCATTTAATAATTAAAAAATAATAATAATCCAAGTGTTTTAGATGCAGCGAAAGAGTGAGCCTGCACTCTTTATCGTCAAATTATTTGACTTGTCGCGACATTGAACAGAATCAGTACAACCACCAAGTGTCTTTGCTGTTGCCAAACAGTGAGCTCACAATTATTTTCATTGTACGTTCGACCAGAAGGATTCGGGTCAGGACTGCGGCATCAAAGCTGAGCCGTTGCCCTTCCTCTGTCCGTCCTGTAGGTATCCGGCCCCAAATAATGAACGGGCCCATGCACCCGCGCCCGTTGGTGGCGCTGCTGGATGGGCGCGACTGCACCGTGGAGATGCCCATCCTCAAAGACTTGGCCACCGTCGCCTTTTGCGACGCGCAGTCCACGCAGGAGATTCACGAGAAGGTATCACAATGATAAATATTTGCCAGAAGATTGTGGAAGATTACGGCAATGTGATTTTTTTTTTTTAATTGTTTATTCCCCAGAATAAACTCAGAAATCTTTCATCAACGTACATGCAAAGTAAAACGTGACCAGATCATCATTTCATCTGCATTTTTTTGTTTGGCAGGTATCTCCACTGCAATTCCTTTTATGTCACTCTGAAGCGAGTGATATGAGCCCGCGCGTCGAGTAGCGCGCTTGCACTTTAATGTTGCCCTGGAAGCATCGGTGGCGTTGTTTTATTATCGCGCGGAGTGCAGCGGGGGGTGCACTGTAATTACTCTGGCTTGTGGAGAGGAGGCTCTTTTTATTTGCTGCAAAAGCAACACACGGCCCCCCCTTAGACGGGTAGGTGCTATCTGTTGCTGCATCTTGCAGATGGCAGTATGTGCCCCCCCCCTTCCTCCCTTAATGCGAGTATGATTAAAAAAACACCCCCAAAAAAAGCAAGCCAAGGCAAACATTTGCATGGAGATCAATTCAATCAAAAGACCCGCGGACCTTTGTGTTGTTTTCACGCCGTCTTATCAGGGAAAACACGACGGTAATGTTCACCTCAGCAGTGGGCCGTAATAAGCGCAGATAGCCGGAGGAGGCGCCGGGAAAGATTGAAAATGTCCAATCTTCTTCGCGTGGGCCCGTCGTACATTTCATTACCTTGCACATTTTGACAGGTTGCTGATAAAGAAAATCACCAGAAAGGTTGGTTGAAAAAACCAGCACAAGGTTAGCGCTGTACGATTCCCGTCATTGGGGAGGAGCCAAATGCTACGTTTTCTGCTTCTCTGACTCGCCTTTCACTCTCGAATCAGACTGTGACTGACAGACTTATTTCTTTAGTTTCTAGGTAATTATGTTTTGTTTTTTCAATAAAGTAGGTTTGCGAATTCGGGCGGTGGGTGGGAATTTCCACGCCGAGCAGCGGGTCACCTCGAACCTCCAACACGTGTTCATCAGGCCTCGGGTCTTGTTTGGTGGGCAGGTGCTGAACGAGGCGGTGGGGGCCATGATGTACCACACCATCACCCTGACCAGGGAGGACCTGGAGAAGTTCAAAGCACTGCGCATCATCATCCGCATCGGCAGCGGATACGATAACATCGACATTAAAGCCGCCGGAGAGCTCGGTAGGTATGATGGCGAAGACCATCGCTCGGGCGCCGCCACTGGATCAAAATGGGAAAATATGACCAAGAAGATGCGAGGGTATGAGGAAAAATGTACATGTGAAAAAAAAGTGGGCCCATTTTAGACCAAAACACAAGGAAGATACGTATTTGAAGAAAATGCAGCCCTTTTGGATGCCAAATGCCTCCTTCCCATGGCAGGCATCGCCGTGTGCAACATCCCGTCGGCGGCCGTGGAGGAGACGGCCGACTCCACCCTGTGCCACGTGCTCAACCTGTACCGGCGGAACACGTGGCTCTACCAGGCTCTCCGGGAGGGCACGCGGGTCCAGAGCGTGGAGCAGATCCGGGAGGTGGCGTCCGGCGCCGCGCGCATCCGCGGGGAGACCCTGGGCCTCATCGGATTTGGTGAGCGAGCGCGCAGGTTTGACAAAATGAGACTTACAAAACCTTAGCTCGAGTTTTGAACCTCACTTACAAACACTACTTAGAAAGTCGAACCCGAGGTTTGAAACCCTACTTTGACACCCTAACCCCTCGTCGATGGTAACCGATGACGACCGCCTCCGTTTCACGGCCCCTTCAATGTCTAACAAGCCGGCGTTGTGATCGTCAGGTCGATCGGGGCAGGCGGTGGCGGTGCGCGCCAAGGTGTTCGGCTTCAACGTGCTGTTCTACGACCCGTACCTGCAGGACGGGCTGGAGCGCTCGCTGGGCGTGCAGCGCGTCTACACGCTGCAGGACCTCCTCTACCAGAGTGACTGCGTCTCTCTGCACTGCAACCTCAACGAGCACAACCACCACCTCATCAATGACTTCACCATCAAACAGGTGCACACCCCACAGCAGGGCGCAGTCTTGATATTGCCCAATCGATTTGGAAGTCCCTGCTGCAGCTAAGCGTGTCATAGTGTTGATTTGTAAACATTTGTAACATCGTTGTCTGACAATGTGTTCTCCATTCAGCAATATTTATGAATGAAGGGGGTAGGTGGTGTGGCAGATGGCATTTGTTTAGGGTCGGGGGGGGGTTTCTGAAACATCATCGCTATAAATGACAGCACGTGGCAAAAATCTGTTAGCAACACTTCAATGAAAAAACAAAAAAAGTATCAAAAAGCCAATGTGCTCGGGGTAAAGAAGTACTGCAATGACATGTTTGAAATCGGCATCAAAAATGCATTCAGGGACACGTCAAGCAAGCTGATTCAAATTTGGTGTTGGCCAGTGTGATTTGTATATTGTTGTACTCTTAATAGATTTTATTTGGGGTTTAATCTTTGAAATGTGTCAATTTTTGTACTCATTGTCTTTGCGTTTTACTATTTTGTAAGCCTTTGTTGAACTTTATTGTCTACTATCTTTTTATGTTAGTCCAAATGTTGTAAAAATCCAAACCTTACATGTATATATTTACATCTTTCCCGTATTTTCACAATATTGTCATCTCATGCCACCGATGAACAAACATGGGATAGGAGTGGGCTGACATCTGCTGCCGAGTCGGGAGAACTGCAAGACCCAAGTCCAAACGCTTCTTAAGCGACACTTGTCATTTTGTGTGTGTGCAGATGCGTCAGGGAGCATTTCTGGTGAACACAGCCCGGGGCGGCCTGGTGGACGAAAAAGCCCTGGCCCAGGCCCTGAAGGAGGGCCGGATACGTGGGGCCGCCTTGGACGTCCACGAGACCGAGCCCTTTAGGTCAGTTTTTTGTTTTTTCCTTTTTCAATTCATGAGCAAAAATGCAGATATCCCCCCAGATATGTGACGATATAAAGACAAATTGTGGGCGTTGCAGCTTTGCTCAAGGCCCCCTGAAAGACGCGCCCAACCTGATCTGCACGCCTCACACGGCCTGGTACAGCGAGCAGGCGTCTTTGGAGATGAGGGAGGCCGCCGCCACCGAGATCCGAAGAGCCATCACGGGTAGGTGGCGCGTTTCGTCTGCGTGTGGGTAGGTGGCGGGCAACCCAAAGTCTTGTTTTTGTTGTGGCGCGACAGGCCGCATCCCGGACAGCTTAAGAAACTGCGTCAATAAGGAGTTCTTCGTCACCACGACGCCCTGGGCCGCAATGGACCAACCGGCTGTTCACCCCGAACTCAACGGCGCCGCCTACAGGTGACCCCACCCCCTCCAAACGAACAAACAAAAAAAAAAATCCGACAGCGACTTCACAATTGACGTGTTAGTTTCCGTTACAAGAAAGTTGTCATGACTTCAACGGACGCATCTCCGCAATTTGTGTAAAAAGAAGCAAATGCGGTGGTTATTCATGCGTTTCACACTTGTAAAGAAAACCTCATGACGTTCAAGTGCAACGTTGCACAGTGTGTGTGAGTATGTTGTGGTTGGCGATGTTGTCGTCATGTCCGCAGTGTTGTTGGTGTCGTTCCACGCAGCCACGTCAACCAAACGCTGCCGGCTGCTGCTGCCGGCGTTCCCCAAGACAAAATAAATGCCTAGAGGGGGAGCAGGTAAAAGCACTGCAAATCAACGCTAGAACGCCACCCGTGTGCGTGCGTGCGTGCGTGTGTGTGTGTGCGTCCTTCCAAACCTTTGATATCCGAATTATCTTTGTGGTAAGCTGTCATTTTAGTTCTTATTAGTTTGGTCAAGGATTTGTCTTGTTTTAGTCAGAATTGTCCAAAACTATAGAAAGCCTGACTTTACATGGTCATCTTATTAAAAAATGCCTTACTACACATGGCCGTTTTCTTTGCTCTGCCCTCCGCCTTCCTCAGATACCCGCCAGGCGTGGTGGGCGTGGCTCCGGGCGGCCTCCCCGGGGCATTCGAGGGCATGGTGCCCGGCGGCTTGCCCGGTGCCCACACCCTGCCCTCGGGGACGCACCCCTCGCAGGCCCCGTCGCCCAACCAGCCTTCCAAACACGGCGAGCCCAGAGAGCACCTCACCGAGCAATAGCGGCCAGAAGGGACCACGAGCCCCCACCGCCCCCCCTCCCCCCATCCCTCCTCATCTAACGCCCAACCGGGACCAAGAGACAGTGCCCCCATTCTGACAGGTGCCGGTGGAATTTGTATTTTTATTGTATTGATTTTTGAGGTAGGATTGGCGGGCAACCACGGTGGACTTTGTTTTTGGAACATGCATCAAACTCTTGTAAGAAGAAATCATATCTACTACTCATAAAAAACGGATCTGAAAACCAATTAGTCATTAATAGGCGGACCAAATTGAAAATGGCGCCCTTGATTGTTGATTCATTCCAATGTTATTCCAGTGTGATACGAAAAAGGTGGCGACAAAGTTAATGACTCAGGAATACCCCACCTTTTTTTTTTTTGGGTGTTTTTTTGCAGTTTTGTCTGTGAGTTAAAGAAAAACTGAAAAAACATGTCACCTCTTCAGCGTTTGACAAGTTTGGCAGAGTCTCGTGCGATTGCTGTCAATGAGTTGGATGTTCTTCTCCGCGTGGTCCCGCGTGCTTCGCTTCCTCCCCCCTCCTACTCCAATTTTCGTTGTCCAGACTCATCCTGTACTCTTTGTCAAAAGCCATCGCGGGCAATCACAGCAGTGCGAGGCAGACCCCGAAACCCCAGCAGGTATGCTTTTGTTTTTAGCCCGAGTATTTGCATTTGTTTCTTGTATCAGGTGAACATTTAGCATTCAGTGCAGTTCGAATTAAAAACAACAACAAAAAATGACAATATTCTCAAACACCTTGTTGTGTGGTTTCATTTTAGGCCCACGGGAGTATTTCGTTTTTTCTCCAATTTTTTTTGTCCCTCGCTCGCTTTCATTAATTCTTGTTTCCAAGTGTTTCTCGAGGGTGAGGCCTTTGTCTTTTCCTTAAATATTCATGTTGAATTCGACTCCATAGTTCCAAATATTCACTCGGAAGAAGATGGCAGACAGAAAATGGATGGATCAACACTTGCCCTCACCCAACTTACTGTTGATTCCAAGAGGATCGATCGGAGGTGGTCGCTTAAATGGCTCTCTCGTTTTCAGGACACACGGCATTTCAATGTTTTATTCAGATCCTATTTTTCAAATATGTTCAACATGCAAAAATAAATGTGCAAATACTGAATTTATAAGATGTCATTTGACACACATTTTCTTTTCTTTTAACAGATCCCATCTGAATCCCACTTTTTTGGGGGGGACACCCCAAAATGTATTTGAATATCAGATTTTGATTATCCCCCCCCAACATGGTCTTTTTTTTAATGGTAAATATGAAATTGATATTTTATTTTCTGGTAAATTTCTTTCAGGACACCAGACCAAGTGCTTCAATTCAAGGTTAGTATCTGTTTGTAAATCTGATGCTCAAGCATCGGATTGTAGATGGTGGCTTGAATTCTTGATCATTTATCTGCATATTCGGTCCTTTTATTTATTTTTTACATCAACCTCACATGCGCAATTCCTCCAAAAAATAATTTTTGTTGAAAGACATCCAGCTGCAAGTTGCGCCTTACAGATGCACACAAGGGAGGGGGAGTGGGGAAAAAAAAAAGCAAAGCAGGGATGCAAGTGAATCAAATTTAATGAAATGAATGCACTCTGTCAAAAGAGAAAGCATTTCCTTCTTCTCTCTCCCCGGCCGCCGCCACTTCCGAGCAACTATGTCTCAATGTGAAAATGTCAGTAAACTGCGCCGCCCCCCCACCACCACCCCTCCCTCGCAGAATGCAGCCGTTAAACTGTGCAAAAAAACCAAACCAAAAATAAATAGCTTCATGAATGATCAAACGGGTTGGGGTAGGTGTGGGGGGGCATCCTTGGGTAAACGTCTGTCAGGCAAATTGCAACCCCCCCCCCCCCCAAAAAAAAAGTGGTGCGGTACTGTACTGGTAAATCTATGAGGTGGACAAGTGGATTTCCTCCAGCAGGACATGCGTTTGGAAAGATTTTGGTGAGGTGGGGGGGGGGGGGGGTTTTTTTTTTAATAAGTGTGTGCGTCACTCATTCGTCGTCATCATCGTCCTCCTCACCGTCAGAGAGCGCGGCGCAGGGTCGTATTTGTCGGTAGGTGTCCAGCCACTTCTCCAGCATCTGCGTGACCAGCGGGTGGTTGCGGCGCCGCGAGCTCTTCTGCACGGCGGCCAGCATGCCGCCGTCCGTCACGCTGCAGTCCAGCCACGAGCGCAGAAGCTTCTCCTGCTGCTCCTCGTTGCCCATCTGAAGGAAAAGCCGCCGCAGCTTTCACGGGGACGTGCAAAGACATGGCAGCCCCCCCCTTTCAACGTCAAGCTCACGGGGATCCGGCGGCGTACCTCCTGCGCTGACAGGAAGTGGATGTGCAGCAGCTTGCGCTCGCTGTCCACCAGAGGCAGGAAGGTGACGGTGACGTCGTCGTCCGTGTTGAGGTTGGCGCCCGCGCCGCGATTGTCGCCGTAGCCGTCGTTCTCCATGGCCACCAGGGCCGAGAAGTGGCCGCGCGTGTAGCCCAGCGCGATGGGGCTCTTCCAGCAGAAGCTTTGCTCCCACAGCAGCGGTAAGTACACGCCTGCGCACGCACACGCACAGCAAGTGTGTCACACAGCCATTCGCCTTTTTCCACACATTTCGACTCGCCGGGCTCTGATTCAATCCGAGCCCAATTTGACATCTCTCAAATATATTATTGCACAAAGGCACGATTTGACAAATTTAGCAATCTGGTGATGAACTCTGGAGTAGAAATGTCTCTTTGGGCACTGCAGTAGAAACGTCCCGCGTACGCTCACCTTGAAATCGCGCGTAGCCTAAAGTCTCCCCTCGGAAACTTTTGTAGTACTTCACGCCGTAAACGATGATGGGCCTGCGGAGGATGTGTGCCAGCACGAAAATGTGGGTCTGCTCCAGGCTTGCCCCGGGCTGCACCCACAGAAAACACACACACACACACGCACATAGAAGAGACGTCACACACACACACAACGATGGAAGCCAAGGCGGATTTCCTTCATCTCACGTGAAGGTTGATCATATTCTTGTGCCGCCAGGTTGTTAAATGAAACGGCGAGTTAAAACGGCCGTCGTCTGCCCGTCACGTGACAGGCGGTGTCGCACAACAAGAGGAAGCCAACGTTTCCCGCAACGCAACGGGACTCCACCTGGCTGGCCAGAGACAAGATGAAGGCCCAGTCCTCCTGCCACTGCTCCTCCCGCAGAGAAAAGTGAAGACCGAAGCTTTGTGAGTACCACGATTCCCACTCCTTCCAGCGAGTGTAAAACCTGCAAAGACGACAAACAAGCGGCAACGCGATGAAAAAAAAATATATATGCAGGTTGACAGATTTTTTTTTTTTTCTTTCTCCCTTATCTGACCAGTGCGAGCAGTCGTGCAGGCTGTCGTGGAGCGTCTTGCGCAAGACCGAGTCCTTGTCGTAGATGCCCCACGTGGCCTGCAGAACCGAGTCCAGCAGGCAGTCGCCGGCCGTGCGGTTCCACAGCGCGTACAGGCGGCTGTCCAGACGCGTGCCCAGCTCCATCGACCAGTTGATGACCGGCGATTCTTCCTCCAGTTCTGGGCGGGAAACACAAGACGAAGGCGGGCCGAGTTGGCGTCAGCGCGCATCTGACGTGAGGGCCGCGTGCTGCCACGAAGCAAACGCGATCATGCTGAAAGACGAGACAAGTATGGGAAGCGTCTCACCTTTTTGCACGTCCCGATCGAGAACCTCATCAAAAAGTTTCTCCTGGACGGCGGGGGGCAGGTCCTCAATATCTGCGGGCGACACGGTGGTTAGAAGACGGAGGACGGCCACGAGCGCACGGCGACAAAACGGAGGGCGCGCGCTTCACCGGCGGGCAGCGTGAAGGTGACCAGGTCGCTGAGGAAGTAGCAGGCAAAGTCGCCCTTGCGCTGATGCAGCGACGCGGCGATCTCCCGGCGGATCTGCTCCGTCAGCTCGGGGCACGCCATGGACGGGATGCACTTGGCCGCCCGCTGAGTCACCTGAAACGGCAGGAAAAAAAAACGCAAAGGTGACACCCGTTGCCTGGCAGCGAGCGAATTGGCGGCGCTGACCTCGGTGAGGAGGACGGCGAGCATGTCCTGCCTCTGGAAGCGAATGGCCAGGTGCACCAACGTGAAGCCCGCGTCGAATGCCGACGCTCGGTTGAGCAGTTGCACCTCGTCGGCGGTCAGCTGCCGCGCAATGTCGCCGCCCGACGACTTGTACGCCTCCACCGGCGCCAGGTCTCCTTCCACCACTCCTGCAGCGGAAAAGAGAGAGAGAGAAACACATTGGAAATCATCCCCCTTTGAGGTGTGTGCATTTAGCAACGCTAAGCTATGAAGGTCACAGTCACGAAATCCATGCGTGTAGACTGGCGGGGGCGGAACAAAATTGATTAAAATAGAAATCTGATTTTAGGAGGGAAAAAAATAATTCTGAGATTCTCCTTGTGCCGTTGCTGCACTTGAGGAAGTGCTCGGCTGCCCTCCGAGGCGCCGGACACTTCCTGTGCTGCTGGGAACCTCGGAATGCAACGTTTGTGTGTGTGTGTGTGTGTGCGCGCGTGCCACCTGAGATGAAACTAAAGCGAAGCACTAACTAGAACAGTGCTCTCTGCCAAGAGTGAGCGTGACTGTCAACAAACACGAGAAAGAAAACATTGCAGAACGTTCACAATTGTTTGGTTTTAGTTTGCGGCCTACTTTCCTTTTTCATAGAAGTTGATGTCATACAATACACCTCAGTCACCCCCGCCACCCTCCCGCTCCCCCTTGCCGTCTATTTCGGTGGTGTTTACAAGGAAGGGGGGGCGGAGATTGTTTTGAGCCCCATCCAGAAAGTCCTTGTGGCCACTCTGCCGATGTCCAGACATGCCCATTCATTGCCACCAGCTGGGCCAGCAGGCTCCCCCTCTCAGCCCCTCAAAGGCCCTCTTCAGTCAAAGCCATAAAGGGCCGTGTCACGCTCGCCCGGATGCCGTCTGTCTATGTCAGCACCCGGCGCAACAACTGCCGGTTTCAAGTCGGCCAAGCGGCACAAACAAATTGGTCGGCCGGAATTGTTTCACAATCCGCCAGTGTATCTCCTGGCCCAAACAGAGGCCGAGCAAGGACGCCATCTCTGCGTGAAGGTGGATCGCGCGTGGTCCAAACATGAGAGCGACTCACCGGCACAAGCGCTGAGAAATAGCCAGTCCGTTTTCCTCATGCGGTTTCGTATCTGCTTGAGCTTCTTGAAGTCTGTCTCCTGCTCGTCCTTGCCGCTCACAGCTCCCGCCGCCACTTCGATTCTCTGGAAGTCCATTTGGACGCTGGCCTCGCTCTCGGCCAAAGAAGGCGACCTCCTCTGGCCGAGAGGACCGGTGCCGCAGCCGCCGCCCACGCGACCCCTCCGCCGCGCCTGTTCCTGCTCATTGATGACGGGCGAGCGCTCGGTGGACGGGGCGGCCAGCTCGATGGCCTGCGGGTGGTCGCACACCACGCACGTGAGCGTTACGGGCAAGTTCTGGTAAGTGCACGACGAGCAAGTCCAGTACTGCTGGTGGGTGTTCAGGCGGTTGCGGTCGTTGTACTCCTCGCACGGGTCCGCGGGAAAGCAGGGCGGTGCCGGGCGGCAGCCGGAGGCGTGGGGCGACTCGGTCGGGCTGCCGTTTTTGGGGCGCCGGCACAGACACTGCGTGCAGCGGACAGCTCGGGGCCAGTTTAGATAGGTGCACATGTGGCAGGACCACTTGGTGGCGATCTCCGCCATGCTGGCCGGCCGCACGCGGGGCCTGGCGCTGGAGTCCGGGCAGATGAGGAGGCTGCCGCTGCCGCCCTCGCTGGTGCGGAGGTCCCACGGGCGGCGCGCCGGGTCCACGTCGGGCCCGCTTTTGTACGGCTCCTCCGTGATGATGGGAACGCGGGACCTGTGAGCGCGGCACATGGTGCACTTGGTGGCGGAGGGCCAGTTCTCGTAGGTGCAGTAGTCACAGGCCCATTTCTCCCTCGTGTCCGTCATCGTGGATCACCTGCGCGGCAGCAGATCAAGTGCACGGGTGTCAAGCTCAAGAATCATTTGATGCGGCCCCCCACAGAGCACATCATGTACTTCTAAAATCTGTACCAAAATCAAAACGGATTAGAAAATAAAGCCGAATACACTGTAACTTCCAAAGATGTTCTACAACAGGTCGGCGTGGAAGAAGATCTTGCCCAGCTTGTCTACAAAATTGAAGTCTGTAAACCACTTTAATGACTCGCAGATCCCTGTCGAGGGAAAGACGGCGTCACTTTGGCTGTTGTGCTGGGCACAGCTTTTAAATAGTGTGCATACAAACTCCCAGATTCCCAAAACATGAATGGTAGGTTAATGTAACAGATGTATCCCATTTTTCAATTGGGAATATTCCCCAAATACCCCATCATAACACACTATGAAAATTGATCAGAAACGTCCCTGAAATTGACCATGTTTGAATTCCTTCGCAAGAAGATGCAATCCCTTGACATAAATTAAGATTACTTATGCTTGGTTGGAAACTTTTTCCAATATCAAACTGTCGGAAACAATACAAATGAAACACTGAGTAATTGTGGATACAAAAATGAAATGTGATGTTTACACCATGTGTCATTTTTCAAACATAATGGCCCCCAGAGGCATGCCAGAACTATGTTTTTAACCATGCTGTACAAATATGATGAAGATGACGATGTGGCCAGCGGCAAAAATGAGTCGAACAGCCTTTTGTTTTATTTAGTGGCTAAGTTGAAATACGACTGTGCAGCGTGAACTCGCCATCTTTGCATACTCAGCTAACCTGGCGACGCATTTCACCATGACACGACCAAATATTTCATCATATTCGAAAGGGTGCAAATCTCTTACCGTCTCCCTTGACGTGTTGTTTGGGGAACCACAACAATGGCTTGTCGTGAGGTCCCCCTTCCAATTCCTGCGCCGCCGCCTACTGCTCGGTCGAATCTTTCCCGAATCGACGTCTTCAAACGCCTTTTATCCTCTCACATGTTTACCTCGACGGACACTTTCACCACGCCGCGGAAGAAACAGTTCGTCCGTCGGCCGGGCCTGTGAATGGCCACGACCTTCGTTGATTTTTTTGTCGTGTTTTGTTGCTTTTTGTTTATGTTTTTTTAATGGCGGCTATGCGGAGACGAAAGCGTAGCCAGAGCCCAAATAAACGCTGGGCCCGTGGACGTCACAAATCAGCTGGCCCAGCGCTCGTCGTGATTGGGTGAGATCGGGAGGACAACGGCGTTGCATAATGTGCGCGTCGGGAGGTGGGCGGGGGGGCCGACAGAGAAAGTCAAGAGGCGTTCATGTATACTGGGATATTTGGATTTTCAAGTAGCCTTTTAAAAAAGTAGCGTTTTGAAGAGATGTATTTTATGTTAAAATTATATAAACAAGCGCCTATTCCGTTCTGAAAATGATTTGCATTAAGTGTTGTGGGAAAGTCAACATGAGTGAATAACATTACTGGAAATGACAAGAAAAAATATATATAGATAATTAACGAGTGCAACCACTGTTTGTCTATTCTAGAAATACATATCTAAAAAGTACATATATTTGGTTCGAGTATTACACTGTTTGACTGTATGAAAAAACAAAAATACAGAATAATTAAATATTATATCACATTTCGTGGCAACAAGAAAAAAGTACAACGCCAATATTGACTCCAGTGACAAGGCCACGAGGCGTTCACGTAAACCGGAAAATTTGAATATTAAATAACTTTTTGTGATTAACTTTTTTAATGATACGAAAGTATGCCACAGGGTACTTCTAAGTGGCAAAATAAAAAAGTTATTGACGACTGCTGAACAGAACTGAAAGAATGACAAAAACTTGTTTGGGGTTGCACCGCCAGATAAATCCTTTTAGAATACTGTATATAGAAATATACATACATCAATGCACATATGTTACATGCTGTTATATATTTATATGGACCATTTGGCCATTTCGGACCCAATTACTTTTTGTAAAATTCAAATTTTCCTCTCTAAGAGCATAAAATTAGACTTGGAAAACATGCAGGACAGCGGCCCTCCAGGACTTGAGTATGACACACCTGCTATACATGGTCGTTTTTTTCGGCCAAAAACGCCGAACGATACATGGTCGTTTTTTGCGGCGAAAAACTTTGATTTTTTTGGAGGGGGGGTGAAAGTCGAGCTATTTCCGGGGTAAGCCAAAGCAGTCACCCTGGCAGGTCGACAAGTGGCGCTAGTGTGCAAAACACCGTTGAACAAGCAGGGGAAGAAGAAGGTTGGCTCGGATTGGCCGACGTGACGTCAGGCTACTAAATGAATTGGAAGCGGGTGTGCAGGGGGCAATAAATCGAGCGCGGTGCACAGGTGCGGCAAGATGGCGACCGACCACGTGGGCTTTTATTCGGTGAGTGAGCACACGAGCAAATGTTTGTCGCTTGTCGTCCTTTCTCACAATGTCCTTTTGCTTGTTGCCCGATTTGCAGCGTTGGAGGTTGGAACGCAGGACGCCACGACCCATTCGCCTTTCCCTTGATTTAGGACATTGTGCTCTTCGTTTCTTTTGCCACGTTTTCAACTTTTTTTGTTTGTTTTAAAGCTGGCCAGCTCTTTTACTCTTTTTGTTTGTTTTGTTTTAAATTGTTGCAACCGATGTCTTTGTGCTTGGGAATTGAATAATGAAAGGTTTTGGTTTGTTTGTTTGACCAAATGTTTGAACATGGCATTTTCTGTCAGGTGGTCTGTTTTTACGAAGTTTACTGTCTTGGTCAAAAATGTTTGGGTTTTTTTCCCCCTCACCCAATATGAGGAAGCCCAATTGCATGTTTAAACCCCCCGTCCCTTTGCAGGTTATTCACCAATGTCCTTCGCTGTTCTACAAACGTGAATATTATTGTGGAAGCCTGAATCGTTTCACGAATGCATATTTTCAGCCCTTTCTGCTCCAAACACAGCCCAAAGTACATCTTTATTCGTCCACTTGCGTGCTGCGAGAGGCAACAAGATCCATGAGGCGAG